TCATTCCTAAAGATATCCTTCCTCCTGGGGATCAAGCCGATGTTACCACTTGGCCAGAGTCTTCAGGGTGGTTTACGAAAGAAGAGCTCGCTATCACATCTTTAACTGCTGCTGAACTCCTTGAGAAACTTGCTTCTGGGGAGTACAAGTCTGAGCATGTCACCAAGGCATTCTGTAAACGAGCATCTGCTGCTCATCAACTTGTAAGTCGGCCACATAGTGAATTTTACGTTAGACTAACACGATGCAAAGACAAACTGTCTTGCAGAGACTTGCTTTGAGCGCGCTCTCCAAACAGCCCGTCAACTAGACGAGCATCTCGCCAAAACTGGAACTCCCGTCGGTCCTCTCCACGGCCTTCCCATTTCTCTCAAAGACAACTTCAACCTTGAAGGTCTTGATTCAACAGTCGGATTCACAGCTCATGTTGGAGATCCGGCCAAGTCTGACTCTGCACTTGCAACAGTTCTTCAAAAGGCCGGTGCTGTCTTCTACGTCAAGACCAATGTACCTACAGCTATGATGATCGCAGAGTCTGTGAACAACACTTTTGGACGAACTGTGAATCCTAAGAATAGGAATACTACCAGTGGTGGAAGTTCAGGCGGAGAGTCAGCCCTTATTGCATTCAAGGGAAGTCCACTTGGTGTTGGCTCTGACATTGGTATGTTCTACGTTCTCAAATATGCAGCAATAAGCTCACACTGCTATAGGCGGATCATTGCGTATTCCTGCTGCTTGCACAGGCATCTTCACCATCCGCCCTTCAGCAGGTCGTTTCCCAGTGCGCAACTGTCGCTCCGGCATGCCCGGCCAAGAAGCCGTCCTCTCCGTTAACGGCCCCCTAGCACGGACTCTCCAAGATGTTGAACTCTACAGCAAAGCCGTCATTGACTCTCAACCCTGGCTCGTCGACCCCAAGTGTCTCCCCATTCCCTGGCGCCCAGCTCATCTCCCCGAAAAGCTAAAGATCGCATTCATGTGGCACGACGGCATGGTCCGACCAACACCACCTGTAACCCGAGCTCTCGAGATCGCAAAGAAGAAGCTCGAAGCGGCGGGACATACCATTGTTGAATGGGATCATGTTGATCAGAAGGAAGGCAGTGATCTTCTTCAGCGCATGTTCACTGCTGATGGTGGACAAACCATTCGAAAGGAACTTGAGCGTACAGATGAGCCTTGGAGGCCTGAGATGGAGGCCTATCGCGTTGCGAGAGATTTGAGTACATCTGAGATGTGGAAGCTTCAGCTCGAGCGAACAGCTTTCCAGAACCGTTATCTCGATCGTTGGAACAAGGCGGGCATTGATGCTATTATCAGTGCAACAACTCCCTACAGTACAGGAAAGCATGGAAGCCTAAGACATGGTAAGTCTCCAGGTCATTGATGAACGAGTTGACATTCTAACAATGAATAGTTGCTTATACTGGTGTTTTCAACGTCGTTGACTACTCAGCTGTCTCTTTCGCTACAAGTATCGACGTCGATAAGGATGTTGACAAGCTTGACGCTTCTTACGAGCCGTTGAGTCCGTTGTGCAAGTCTGTCAATGAAGAATGTGAGTAGCCCACGTCAGTCATATGGTCGAATAACACTAACACCATACAGACGACGCAGAGTTGGTCCATGGACTACCAGTCAGTCTTCAAATCGTTGCACGTAGGTTGGAAGAAGAAAAGGTCCTCGCTATGGCCAAGCTCGTACACGAGACTGTTGGATGAAGGGAAACACCGTAGAATAGATTTTACCACGTAGACACTGCCAGGTCCTGGGACTATCATATAAAGTAACGTTTAATATCAAGGACGGGCACAGATCTTGTAACAGATAAAGAAATATAGTATTCATCTTGTTTCTCGTTTGGAAAAACAGACATGGAAAATGAAGACGAGGGAATCGCTTCTCAACCCTCTCAACCCATGTAGAAGCATGCCTCATCAGCTTCTTGAGGCTGAATCCTCCTTCTCTCATCCTTCTCATATCAGGCATTAAATTCTTGAAATCACCAAGACTTGTCCTTGTTTCCCTTTCCTAAAGTAACTCTCTCATTTTGAACTTGAAGCCACGTCTTTGAACCTCCTCTAAGACACTATCCGACTCTTGTCATACGCGAATCCATTTCCTTATCTCCTGGAGGCGTCCAGTCCTCCCTGGAGATCCTGCTCAAGCCCCGTGTTTCCATGACCCTGATACTCCTGTGGTCGAGGGTCCTCCGCTGTCCATTGGCTGTTGCCCTGCGGCAGAGGAACGGGCACACCCTGCTGGTTCTGGAGACCAGCGGGGCCACCTTGACCGGGAACAGTGCGAACAGTCTGTCGGAATCGCGACACCTCATCCAAGATCATGCCTCTCATCTGGCCAACATCCTCAACGACCTCAAAGTCGAAGTTGAATGTGGTGGGGCAATCGGGCTCGTCTGAAGCATCGTGCCAGATGTGGAGGTAAGGGTGCTCGAGAGCTTGCTCTACACTGATACGAGATGAAGGGTCGAAGGCGAGCATCTTGTCGAGAAGGTCGAGAGCGTCAGGGTTGGCCTGAGGGAACAGGCTAGGGAATGGCTTCTTGGGCATGAAAGGTAGGTTGCGGACGTATTCCTGAGCACGGGGTGAGCCGATACGAGAGAGAGTCTCTTCATTAGGAGTTCCAAGAATGTGAAGAATCTGGTTGAGCTGGTCGACGTAGTCACGGCCCTTGAAGAAAGGTCGGCCACCCAACAACTCCGCAAGAATGCAACCAACAGACCAAACATCGACTATATCGGGTCAGTAAGATAATCCACTAATACTGTGATTTCGGGTCACACATACTCGCTTTGGTGTAGCTCTGGAAGCTCAACATGATCTCGGGCGCACGGTACCATCGGGTAGCAACGTACTCGGTCATGTATCCGGCATTCTCCTCGGGATCGACAGAGAAACCTCGGGCAAGACCGAAATCGCAAATTTTGAGCTCGCAGTCGGCGTTGACGAGCAAGTTTCCAGGCTTGAGATCTCGGTGGAGCACATTGGCGGAGTGAATGTACTTGAGACCACAAAGGATCTGGTAGATAAAGGATTGGAAATGGGCATCGGTAAGAGGCTGGCCAGATCGAATGATAGCAGCCAAATCACACTCCATCAGCTCTACGCTGTGTCAGCTTATGGTCATTGTTTCTTCTCGGCTCGTCACTGACCCTCGTACAGGTACGTCTCGTTGAAGTTATCGGGTCGAGGAATGTCCATGTCGTACAGACATGTGATCTATCGTGAGCATATTAGCATACGCGTCCTTGCTTGGCCCTGGTACTCGTTGCGCCGAGGTAGAACTCACGTTGCGGTGGCCTCGGAAGTGCTGAAGCAACTTGATCTCGCGCAGAGCGCGCTTGGCGAGAATCTTCTTGCTGAAGACATTGGTGACCTTCTTGATGGCGACGCCCTCGTTGGTTTGGTTGTTAACGGCGGCACTGAGAGGCGGGGTCATCGTCAGCAAATGCAGATGCGGCGGGGTAGAAGACGAGTTTGGAGTCGCAGCACGAGAGACGAGTGTCACGAGTAACAGGATGCGCACTCACCAGACGATACCGTAGGCTCCCTGTCCAAGCTCCTTGGTGACCGTATAGCGCTCGTCGACGATAAAGTCCTGGTTAAAGACCTTGAAGACCTTCCGTCCTTGAAGGTCCGACATGGTGTCTGATCTTGGATGCGGGGCAGATAGAAGCTTCGAATGCGACAAGGTTTGGTCAAGAGGAACGACCGTTTGCGTCGGTTGGGGAGTGAACTTTATAGGGAAAGACCAGGTATAAAGATGAAAAGTTAGAAATGCTGTGTAAGAATAAGACAAAGAAACAGTCAGCGCCGTCTTTGCGATATATGTACCTTATGTTGCTGGTTGGCTGGGTCCCGCGGATTGAACGAGTGGAATGGGAAATAGCTCCCTCAGCTGCTGAGCCCATCTCGGACTGCTACTGGACGAAGCATTGGGTTGCTGTTTTAGCAGGGGCTTTCAGGGCTGCTGGAACTGATCCACAGTGACCCGAAGCCGCTAAGGTATGAAAAAGGGACCCCGCAGCGAAGTCACCGCCTGATGATGTGGCTGATTTGCTCGGCTTGCGGCCCCCACACGCACTGGGCCAATGAGAGAACGAATCAAGTTCTTCACTTGATAGCCGCGCGACAACGACCCTTGTTCTCAAGTCGCAGTGATGCATGTAACGGCTCGGCCTCATCTACTGCAAAAAGGGGAACTTGCCGTGTTGAACTCTCAGAGGACACAGACTCAAATTTGATGATTCAAAAACACGCGTTCTTTTACCAAGTCCAAAGTTTATCTTCTCACAAGAGACAGCCTAACTATCTCGGCATTCACCTCCCGCTTCGCTAGGTCGTGTATCCAGCCGCACGCCGTCCTGTGCCACCAAGGGGCTGAGTCTGTTCAAGTCATCACCGATGGTCAGCATTCTCATCCAATCTCACCCGGCATCTGAGAGATCCGCCTCACGTAAAGCCTCCACTGAGAATTAGGATCCAATACCGTCAAGTTGCCAGGTGTACAATATGACCTCGTGTTGTTATCATAGTCTCTGGGTCCGGCGTCACCGATGCAACATGACAGAGATGAGAGACAGTCAGTGAAATCAACAAATTGAATGACGCCGTTCTTCAGCCCGAGTTCAAGGCCGCCCACTAGGCCGCTGCATCGTCAGCCCTGGGAGCATAGGGCTGAAGCTTGCCAAGTGGGACTGTCTGAACTATCAGGCTGCGACATTATGGTGTATTTGTTTCTGATGTCCTTGGCAATTCTCCTGGCCTCATTTGGCCATTGTTCAGGCAGTAGAAAAATTCAGCAAGCGTGTGATTATAGCATCTTGTGACAAGTGACCCAGAGGAAAGTTGGCCGAGTTTTCTTCTTTTCCTTGCTTCGAGACCAGCATCCATGGGTGTTAATCTGAAACCGACCTCATGGATTCTGAGACACATTCTGTAGGATCGGCATACAATAACCTACCCTCCAACTTAATCGAACCGTCTTGCTGGGAATCATTCAGCCAATAATCATCAACTTTGTTGAAATGTCAATAGTATTCTAATCTACCTAGTCCCCTCTAATATGTAACCTAGTTTCCCTTCATTGATCATCTGTATGTACAGGTATCGGGTATTAAATCCATCACCACCCCCCAACTCCATCCATATCATCCATTTACTCTTCTCCGAAAGTCTCCTTCAGGAAGTTCTTGGAGAACCGTGTGCACTGCTCATACGCCTTTGCGAAACCGTCGTCTCCGCCGTAGTAAGGATCGTTGACGATCTCGGGTCGCTTTGTTCCGCTGAATTCGCCGAATAGCATAACCTTGGCTTTGGAGTCTGGGGCGTTCTTCTGCAGTCTGTGAAGATCGGAGAGGTTCGATCTGTCCATGGCGAAAATGTAGTCAAAGGTGTTGAAATCACTCGGGTGGAACTGGATATCGTGTCAGCAAGATTGCGCCGCGGGTGAGATGGGAAACGTACGCGCCGCGCGAGATGGTCGTAATCATTTATACCATTGGCTTCGAGAGTAGCCATAGTTCGGTCATCCGGAGGTTCTCCGCTGTGATAGGCAGCTACAGCCAGAACGGTCAGTTGAATACTGGTAAGTTATTTTAATATTCATACCTGTACCGCAAGAGTCGATGCGCCCAATCTTATCCTTGAGATTCGGCTGCTTGGCAAGGCTCTGGAAGATACCCTCAGCCATGGGTGAGCGGCAAATATTACCGAGACACACAAAGAGGACGTTTATTTGGTCCGGCATGATTTCGACGATGATACAGTGATACGAAACAAAGTAGGTCGATCGCGAGAAGAGAAAAGAGTACTAATAAGCTTATTTATCGAGAAAGGAGGGAAAAATGAAAAGAACCGAAATACTGATGATCGCAATGGGAGTGAGTGACGTGACGGGCCGATGCGCATAATCTAATCTGCCCCGCCATCTCAGAATTCCAGGCTTTGGAGTGGAGAGATGGAGGGGCACGGGCACAGTATTAGAAGCCATGACCATCGAGAGCTGAACTAATGAAGAGGATAGATTATAATCAACAATATTTCCGGTGATATAGACAAGCTACCTATAGCACAACCAAACTTCACCTCTCAATCCCCAATTACCACCGTGTCTCAGTATCGCTTGACATTGTATCAGATCACTTACACAATCTGAAAAATAAACATGTTTCAGTGAACCAAGCACTGTATGGCCTTTACCAAGCAACACGTGCTCTCGTGCTCAGCTGGCGTCCAATACCCCTGTTAACATGGCTTCTCAAACGCGTTCCGATTGTCGAAAACGTGTAAGCATTGTCACTTAGCTCAAGCCATCGGCCCAAAGTCTTCCCATCTTCACCGCTAGCAATGTGACAGAGAAGCGTGAATGAGCGTGAATTCATTATGAAGGGACAGTAAGATGGGCTATAAAAAGGGCCTCGATACCTCAATGGCCTCAGGTTGAACTCTCCTCATCATCCTTCACTCTCAAACACTCTCCACTCTTCTCAATATCATCCAAATCGTCCAATATGTCTGAATGGAAGCCACCGGCCTTTGGTACTCCCGTCTGGATGAGCATCCCTGCCACCGATGTCAACCGTGGTATGTCCTAGCCAACTGCCAATTAGTCTTGCTCTTACACCTCTATAGCCGCAGAGTTCTACAAAGCTGTGTTCAACTTCACCTACAAGGGCCCCAATGACAAGCAACCTGAAGATGAACTCAGGAGATTCGACTTCAACCCCAGCCTTAGCTTGTCAGGTGGTATTCAAAAGGCCCCTGACCACACTGGAAACTTCCACCCCGGAAAAGGAGGTCTCTGTGTTTACTGGTTTGTCGAAAATGTTGACCAAATCGGGCCTATCATTGAAAAGGCTGGTGGTAGAATGTTGACTGAGAAGGAAAAGGAGGGCGAGTTTGGTCTGTATAGATTCTTTGAGGATACTGAGGGATCTGTTGGTGCCGTGTACCAGATGGCTTGAACATCTAGTTAGGGGCCAAGGCTTACAAACATTGTGATATTGAATCAACTATACTCCTTTATTGCTCATTGCTCTGATCTTCCCCTAGTATGTTGATACAGGTATTCAACGGCGATCACCAAAGAGACAGGGTGGTGTGTTAAAGGTCTCGGGAACAGTAATAAGGGGTCGAAGTATAGAGGCACTTGTAGGTGAAACACGAGGATTACAGAGCTAGTCAGAGGTATCAAAGTGATATCAATAGTAGTTTATATACATGAGGGTTAGGGAAGAAATGAGGGACCAAAGCCGAGATCCAGGGGGTGGTAAAATTGAAGGTAACAACTGGAAGGTCATAGAAGAAGGGCCCGTCGCTATGAGAGGGAGTTATTATGTGAGTGAACTGTATAATTGTTAGCTTGTGTGGAATATAGAATAGCAATGCCCGCTGATTACCGTCGAAATAGGAGTTGTTAGTGTACTGCACAGAGCCATCATCAAAAGTAACCATGACAAGGGCGACTTCAAAGCTTCCGCCATCTGCCTTGTTTCACAGTATGCTTTGTCAGTAGTACCACGATGGACAGCAAGTCTCCTCGTGGCAATCTCCCTCTTTCTCCCAGTCAAGAACCAGGCGGCCTTGATGTCCGTAGTTATCAACATCACCCATACGAGACCAGATGCGATTGTCAACCGACCAAGGATGACAACATAGCTTTATGGTGCGACATCCGTAACAGCTTGTCTAAGAGCTTTCGCAGGTAGCCCTCCTAATATCTGGCCGATATCACGCATGGAAAACCACATAGCGAAACGTACCACTGAAAGAAGCACTTAGTGTTTGGGGCAGGAGTGCATCACTGAGACCCAGAGTCTAAGATATAATAAAGGTCCCCATATGTATACATCTACCATGTAAGTCAGCGAACTCAAATATTCAGTGGCTGTCTAAGAGCTTGGGAACATACATGATCCAAGCTTGCGACCATAGCTGCCGGGCAAGCTGAAACCTCACATCAACGTGGTCAATCACTGTAGACAGAACAAATTTCTTTGAACTTTTGTTTCCATTCATTTTTCATACACAATACAAGAGAGGGGATGCCACATGTAGTAGAGGCGCCGTGTCATCGCATGTTATTCTGTCCCCTCATCCGCTCCGCTGGCCGATTCCAGCATCGCCGTCTCCAGATTTTCTCAGATTCCCCTACCCAAAAAAGACACATACGCCATGCTCAGGTGAAAAGCAATAATAATACACAGAGCGTGCACAGCCCATCAGGAACCTTTCCCTCCCGAGGTTGTGTTGCTCGAAGGCCGTTGTCGTTCATTGTTACAGTTGGTCGTATCGTTATGCGTTCAGGCGAGCTGTCGTTGACGTTCTCGCCGTATCGTCTCGAGGACTCCCATTACACCGTTGTTGCGTAGTCTCTCGAGGACGAGTTTCATGCCATCGCGGCTTTTACCCATTTGATCCTGCGTCTTGGTAGAGGCGATGCTCTCGATGCTGCGTTGAATACCCTTCGTGCCCCAGCCGCCAATGATGCCATTCTTGAACCAACCGTCCTCTTGAGCTTGTCCCAGTTTGCCCCTAATTTTATCCCCAAGTCTTGACCTGAACTGAACCATAGTCGTCACAGCAGTCTCGTTAGGATTCTGGGCAACGCCTTCGGTAGGAACGTTGAACTCCTGCTTCTCAATAACAGAGAGCACACCCGTGAAATTGAGGTTTCGGCTCTCCGTCTTCATCCAACCCTCCTTGATATCGACAACACTCGTCTCGAGGATGTACGAAGCCTTGTCTCCAGAGCCACCACCAGTAACACTGGCAGGAAGCAACTTGTATACAGCACCAGGCATTCGACTTTTCTTCAAATGGATGCGAGTTGTGTGAAGTCGACGGGTTTTTGGGTCGACATAGCTCTCAATGGTGTCGGTGCTGAGAACATGGGCTGCGAAGGGGTTCAGTTGAGGCGAGGAGTATCGGAGGAAGTAGGCGAGAGTGACAGTCGGGAACGGGTGGTTATAGTTATGGTTTGTCGTGTGAGTGAGAACCATTGTCGCGGGTTCGAGCAATACTGCTCGTCAAGAAAAAAGAATCGAAGTGAAGCGACGTAGAAGAAGAGGTTCAATTGATCGAGTGGCAATTGGTTTGACCTCTCAATCGTATGGAGAGGCTCTAAAACAAACTTGTAGAGCTATTTCAGTCCCCAGTTCCTATCCCAATGAGCCGTAAGCTCGATGATGCTCTTGGATCAAGTTGATCACTAAGAGGTTGGTGGTTGCGGAAAATTGAGCCGGCGCCTCGGCTTAAGCACCAGCACTTTCTTATCTCCGGGGCGCGGAGCCGGATATGGGAAATCGACAAGAGAGCAGTAAGACGGACTCAGGAGCGGAGCTCGCAGCTATGTCGGGCCGCGAGAGATTTTACACGAGGGAAGAATAATACAGTAAAAGAGCTGATGATGGAGTGATCAAGTTTAGATCTGGGGACCCTCGCGACCACGACAAGCAAAGCAGAGCAGAGCAGAGCACGAGACTTTGGCTGTAGCAGTCGGTACTCGACTGGTCTGGGCTTCTTTCTCCGCTGTGGAAGAAGAAAAGAGGAGGAACTTAAAGAGAGTGGAGGCAAAAGCACGAGCAATCGGCTGATTGAGCTCGTTTTAGCCAATCAAGAGCTTCTTGATCACCAAACTCACAAGTTTCCGATTGGGCCGTGATGAGGGGTCGGTTGATCTGGGGAGAGAATGTGGCGATTAACACGTGATGCTGTATCACAGCGTCATCAGATTGCAACACCAAAGCTTGGTGAGATGACGACAGTTTTGGAACTCACGATGCCACGGTGTAGGAGTATGACGAATCAATGTCACTTGGTCTGCACAATGACATAGCATATATAGCAGTTGCTATCTGAATGTTAGATCTACCTTTTGCCTAGAGATCGGTTATACAAAATAAATAAATCATCGTTATCCCATGCATTAATAAGTATTCTCGCTAAACTCGCCAACATGTCCCAAAGCTTTCCTTGCCTGTGTCTAATAAAAGGCATTTTGTAAAAACTCCAATTCTATCCCTATATCCCAACCGCATTAAAGGTATTCCCAACGCCTCGCAAATGCATCTCACATAAGTCCATTATAATCCATTGCAATAGAACATTCCCCTTACATGAGGAACTCACTTCCAGCAAAGTGCTTCAAAACAACCCAACCATCTGCGAAACTCTCCTTATCCATGCGCACAACAATAGCCGCGTGACTATGTCGGTGCTTCTGAATATGAACAGGAAACTTACGCCAACCAGCTGCATCCAAGTTCTCAATCATCTCGAACTGATCAGGAGTCAGCGCAAGCGTGGGCTGTCCTGGAGTCGACATCCTGCGCTCTTTCTTCAGCAACTTGCGATCCTCAGCATCATAGGCCAGATCGTCTTCTGAATCTGACGCTGCCAAGTATTGCTGGTTCTGTGAGCTGTTGAGAGCCTCGTAGGCCTGTTCGACTTCTTCTCGAATCTCCTTGATCCGTAGGGGCATGCGGTACTGCTCGATCTTTAATCCAGCCTCTCCTGACTCGTGCGCCTTGATTCGATTGGCACTTCGAACTGTTTGGACGGCAGAGTTGGCGAGGAAGACAACAACTCCGACCGGAATTATAACACCGACCGTCACCATGAACGGGATGCTCTTGACCCACTTCTTGAGAGCTTCGTAGTCTGTCAACAGCGTATCTTGTCGAACTTTCGGTCGAGGCGCAATAGGATGGTCAGGGTCAAGAATTACACCCTCGTATCCCTTGACGTAGTTGAGATTGACTTTTTCGATATCTGTATAAGGATCATGTTTGGTAATCGCAGATGTGTAGTGCACAACACTTCGATCGTTGACGATGTTTGTGTATAGTGTGCGGCGCTTAAACTTCTTGAGGCCAGACATGAAGATAGAATCTGGATCGGCGAGTACTGCGAGAAGAGGTCGATTGGTGTCGCGGAATTTATCGATGGTAAAAAGTTGGCGGCCGGACATTGATAGTGTTCGAGCGCCGAGGACGTTCCAGATGTTGTTGAGCCATCCTTTTAGTGGTGTTCTTACTCCGAGATGGGGGGATGCAAATGTGGTAAAGTTCTGACAGGATTGTTAGTTCATCCAATTTTTTCCTGTTACCTCTTCCCCTATTGTGCGACTTACCATGCATTCGAGATCATCGAGAATTCCCTTCGCATATAGCAAACCCACCGCATATCGCGAAACTAGACCACCGAGCGAATATCCTGCAATACTCAACTTGGTGATCTTGCCTCCTTGCTCTTCAATGTTGCGCAACTTCTCCTCGATCTCTGCGCACACGCGCTCGCCACCAAGCTCAATGCCGTCGTATGTGAAGCTACCGCAGTTCTTCTCGGCAGGCAAGATATATAATTCGTCTTCGGAGTATTCGTCGCGCAAAGCCTTAGCAACATTGCGCAAATGACTTGGGTTTCCCCAAAGCTATTATATGGTCAGCGATGCATGACGTATAAGGATTGATCGTCAGGGGTTGATGCTTACGCCGTGAACTAAAACACAAAGGTGAGTAGCCTTTGCGCTTCCGCCAGTAACGTCTTCAAGAGCGACAGGTTTAGACATGATGAAAGATGTGCGATAAAATTGCAATGGCTAAAAAAGAGACCGAGGCAGAAAAGTTGCCAGTCTTTTAAGAATAAATTAGTTGAGGTTTCTCAGGAGATGCAGCCCCCAACGGAGTTTCGGATTGCGTAAAGTCGGGTTGTCTGAAGTCCGCTCAACTGCAGAATTACGGAGGCAGCACGGAGTTAAGCCGTTAAAGTCCCCACCAGAATATCGATGGCAACTATCGACGTCGACCAAACACGCGACAGCATATGCCGTTTTAGGAATACAATGTGGTTGCTGTCAACGGTGTTTAACGAACATTAATACCGTGGGGCTGAGTTGAAGACGTGGTCGTCGAAGCCATAACAGCAGAGGCTTCATTCAGTCTTTATAGTTGCGGACTTATCGCATTATACAAGATATCTCGGATAGATGCGAATTCCGACTCCTGCCAATAGCTGGCTTTGGTTTATCTAGTTTACATGAACTAACTACCTAGTCTAAGGATCTTATTTCATCTGTTTAATCGATCCTCAAAAGTGGCGCTTTCCCACACCATCACAGGTTGGTTCTCGATTTGGGCGAGCTGAATTCCTATCATGACGCCTACAAAGGGGTGCGAAACCGAGTGCGAGCCGACTTTTAGGGTGTACTATGTAAGAGCACTCAAAGCAAGTTTGGCCTTGGTGCAAAGGAGCCAGATCTGTTAAAGTAGGTATGTGGTCAAACTAGTACACGTATCGTCAGCTGCATTCTTATAATTCTGTGACTATTACTAAGAACCAAAGTCCTTCCCTTTGTTCAAGTTGGTATGAAGCGTCATAGCTCATGAGCCTCTATAATCATGGTGGAGTTCAACACTGAAGTGCTTACTGCTAAGCTAAAGGTGGGTCTCATGATGAGAGCAACCGCTTGACAGCTGAACGCTTGGGCTAACTGCAGCTCTTTCTTCAAGCTCAGCCTCATTTGTACATCAAAGGCTTCAATTAATACAATCTCAATTGAATCAAAACGACGATAATTTGATACTTCGCTCTTTTTGTTCCTTTGGCCCTTCAAGAAACTCACGTGCGTTTATATAAGCACGGTCTTCCCTTCAACCTCTCCACAACAGCTCACCTCGCTGCAGTGGATAACCTCCTATTGTTTCGTCTCACCAAGCACAACCACCCTAAACCTGACTTCAACCTCCAACGTCGGTTCATCCATTCACACTCAACGATCTCTATAGCATCATTAGAAGTTCACATGATCACGAATGCCGACACAGAGCTCCCGTCGGAAAACCCTCAGCGTCACTTTAAGGTGTCGTCACCATGAGTTTATTTAAACACATCCCCTGTCCCAAGGGCGATGATTGCGCAGCGAGCCTCTGTCCTTTCAACCATCCAAAGGAGAAATATGAACCGCCATCACAAGGACTCTCATCAGATGATACAAGTAATGAGACCACCGCAGCAAACCAGGATGTACCACGCAAACGTGTGAGGACAGATCCCTTTCATCCACCTCCATCACCCAAAACTCCCCAGGATGTCGGACAGAGCTCTTCTGGAACATCTCGTGGGGGCTCAACGGATGATATTCCAAAACCAGTAGCCAAGAAGCTTGAAACAGCTGCTCGGCCAGTCTCTCCTCCACCACTAAAGCGGAAAATGGACACTCAGGATGACACTCCTAAAGCTTCTTCAAAAGTTGCCAAAATAAGTCGTTCTACCGCTGAATCACGTCCGTCTTCTGCTCGAAAACCTGTACCAGCAAAACCCAAGAAGGTCGAGACACTGAATCCGAGACTCCTTAAACGTTTACCTGCTGCTCATGACATCCGTCTCAGACTGGTCAAAATGCTTCACCAAGAACTTACCCGACTAAACAAAGAACTCAAAAGTAACGCCAAAAAAGACGAAACGAAACTTCTACTATCAGATCAAGACCTCATCGTCCGAACACTAGACGAAGAGGAATACGTTGCCGTTCACAAAACCGCTGTGTACTCTAATGTTATGAAAAACAGAGTCATGCAATACAAGCGAATGAAGGTTGATCAGTGGAAGGCTGAAAGAGAGGATGAAATGAAGAAGAAGGAACTCGAAGCAGCTGGAAAAGATCCTAATGACAAGCCCTCGGAAATAAAGACTGGCTTGACCCCCGCTCAAGAGGTTGAGCTTACGAAACGCATATTGACTTCTATCGACAAGCTATCAAATCATGGCTATGTTGCTAGCATACCTTCAGAAGCGGATGTCGAAAAGGCGAGACAAGGTGTAGCAACAGCCGCAGGATGGGAGAAATGTGACCGTTGTCAACAACGTTTCCAGGTCTTTCCTGGAAGACGTGAAGAAGACGGTGCACTCACTTCTGGCGGAACATGCACGTTCCACTGGGGAAAGACCTTCATCGCCCCTAAGGCTCCAGGTGACAACACCAGGCAGCCCAAGCGATATCAGTGTTGTGGTCAAGAAGTCGGAGACTCTGTTGGCTGCTTCACTCGCGATCACCACGTATTCAAGACCTCAGATCCCAAGAGACTTGCCTCTGTGCTTAACTTTGCAGAAACCCCTGATAATCCTCTCGTGCCTACGGACAGGGCAGTGGCTTTTGACTGCGAGATGGGTTATACAGTTTTCGGCATGGAACTTATCCGTCTAACTGCAACATCATGGCCGACAGGCGAGGAACTGCTAGATGTCCTGGTTCGACCGTTGGGAGAAATCTTGGATCTCAACTCGCGATACTCCGGTGTCTGGCCAGACGACCTCGCCCAAGCTGAATCATGGACCGCGAACAAATCGACGAAGCCAACTAAGAGTAGCGACGACGATGTGAGTGAAGATGGCGAGCTGAAGCCTAAGAAGAAGCAGCTCACGATCGTCTCATCTCCAGAAGTTGCTCGAGATCTATTATTTCAACTCATCTCTCCAACTACACCCCTGATCGGACATGGCCTCGAGAACGATCTCAACTCAGTCCGTATTGTGCATCCAACACTGATTGATACCGTGCTGCTCTTCCCCCACAAAGCTGGTTTACCATATCGGTATAGCCTGAAGATGCTTATGGATGTTCATCTCAACCGCAAGATTCAACAGGAGACAGGTCCCAAGATGCTAGGTCATGATTCTGCTGAAGATGCAAAGGCAGCAGGAGATCTTGTTCGTCTCAAGATTAGGAATGAGTGGATGGATATGCAGAGAGAGGGCTGGAAACTGGTGGACGGTAATTTTGTGGCACCTGGAAAAGCTGCTGGATTGACGGAGGCGTTCATTGAGGCATAGTTCTTGAGAGCCTAGGCATCATACGCAAGATAGATAGGCACGTGAATTTTCATGAGATTAGAGAGCATTGGGCATCATAGATCTTGAGGTGTTATGGACTTGGTCACAGGTTCAGCGTAGTTAATGTCGTTTTGGAACGGGAGAAGCCGTGAAGCCACCGGCGATTATACATTGTGAGATAGGGTTGATATTCCCCGTCTGGTCTCGTTCTAGAAATACATAGTTGGCGCTTATGAATAAATGTTTTCATCGCCAACGATAAGCGGGGATTTCCCAGTCATTTCCTCAACATCCTTCACATCATACAAAGTCCGTTATTTTAAGCCCTGCCCACTGACAACAGGTACTGGCCACCCTGCTTTCCGCTTCCACCAGGCAGGTAGGCAACGTTGGGGTTTGATGAAAGAGTAGCAGCAATCTCACGACTAGCCTCGATCTTTCGGATCTGGATGAGGCCGTCACCAGCCTTCTGGATGGCCTTGCTGATGGCCTCGGCGGACTCGGACTCACCCTCGGCACGGATGACGTTGGCTTGACGCTCCTGCTCAGCACGCTCGACGATGAAGCGTGCTCGCTCGGCATCTTGCTGGGCAATCTGCTTCTGCTCGACAGCCTTTGTGAACTCACGACCGAAGGTCATGTGGGTGATGGAAACATCCTCAAGAGCGATGTTGAACTCGGCAGCACGGAGAGTAAGGTCGTTTCGGATTCGTTCAGAGACAGCCTCTCGCTGAGTGATGAGCTCTGCGGCATCGAACTGGGCGACGATGGCCTTCAGGACTTCGTTACCAATGGAGGGGAGGACTCGCTCATCGTAATCGGCACCGAGGTTCTATCAGAGTCAGTCATATGATCTGAACCAAAGTTTACTTGTTCATCTTACCTGGTAAATCTTGGGGAGAGCCTTGACATTTGGTCGATGCAGCACTCTCAGTGTCAAGCTAACCATCTGCAAGTCTTTGCTGCCAGTGGTTGTTGCGATATTCCTGGGCTTGGTGCGGACATCGAAGATGATGCTCTTCTGCAGCCAAGGGATAAGGAAATGGGTTCCTTCGTTGACGACGGTCTCCTTAACACCAGACAATCTGTCAAAGATCACAGCCCGAGTTCCTCCTTTGACGTCGTATAGAGACTGACTGCCTAGGAAGACGACAGCTGAAGCGGGGACCGCCAGGCGGTACATGAAGTTGAGGGCTCTCGCAGCGGCCGCCATTTTGATATGATGTGATTAAGTCTTGCGTTGTGTATCGCTTCAAGACGTCGGTCAAAAATGGTGGTCGTAGAACCTAATTATCGATGGGAACTAAGACGTAGCTGAAGCTTTTCGGAGTCAACGGACGGTGATGATGATTTGAAGCTCTTAGTCCACCTTTGGACAAATTCACAGTACGATTCGTTGGTTGGCTGTTAGATTCCTTCGGGTGGGTGTTACTCGGAGCTAAGCTCGTTCGGGAACGCTCGGCTGATGGGGAAAGCCTGCATCTGCGCTTTCCTTTCTAACCCGAGAAATCCTCAAGTGGCCCTTTTCTGCCTTTCGCCTCCAAACCAACGACTCCAAAAACCACACGCGAGAGACTTCGACTTTTCGTGCCGAATCTGCCAAAATGAGACCGACTCAGATGCTCCGAAGCGGCGCTGCCGACCCCAAGAACGGACAGTACGTGAATTGCGATTGAAGGAGGGCAATTGGTGGTGCTATTGCATGCGGCTTTTCCAATGGTTAATGGTCGATCAAGCAACACCAGGCTCTCGAAATATCCCCATCGATATGGAAATCAATGCTAACGGACTTTCAATAGCTACATTGGTAACTGGGGTCACTTCGGTAAGTGATTGCTCCCACGATGTGCGAACGAGGAAACTGGATCGATGAACGCGACGGACCAACGGATTAATGACGATGCATGAGGAGGAAGCAATTGGGTCGACACAGCACCAAAACTCGATGCATGCGCATAATCGGTCTCGAAATTCATCAATGGGATATTCTCGGGGATTCATCAACGTCATCAACGAAACTGGACACTAACTCGATATCAGGTGGTGAGAAGCAGCGTGGTATCATCACTTACGGTCTGTCCGCCAACCGACAGAACCCTTGGGCCGGTGCCTTCCACGATGCCATCTTCAACACTTTCCGCCGAACCAAGGGCCAAATCTTCTACTGGCTTCCTCCCATGGTTGCTGGTTACTACATCATGAACTGGGCTGTCGAGCGGTACGTTAATACACAGCGTCCGACACAAGCAAAATACTAATTCCAGTTATAGAAGCGAGTACCTTAACTCCAAGGCTGGTCGTGCCGAGTTCGGTGATGAGGAGGAGTAAATTGGTTAAATTATTGGAGCAAAACCACGGCGGATGTGTTGGAGTAGGTCCTCTGGACTCATTGTACATCATCAATACCTAGACCAGGAGGTGCAATAGACAGCAGTCACACTATTTCTTTTTCATTTGATCTTTCCACGTTCAAACACTGCAATTGAATTGAAGTCTCTGACGCAGTGATCCCATTAATGTCATCTCTCTTGCTGATCCGAATCGCTATCGTACCCACTGGTAATAGTCATTGCCGAGAGCGTGATTGGACTCTTGATGAGGTCACGTGAACACATAAACTTCTTGCGGAACCGGCGGTACGTAACACCGAACCTCTTTGCGGTAGCTCTTCTTCTACTCGCCGAAGAAAAAAAAAAAGTTAGAAAATTTCGAGGTCAGTGGAGTGCTAACAGAAAACACGGTAACTTTGCGACCACCAACATTGCCGCGGAACCTTCAATTCGCACACACAATCTCCGTGCGACTCCAAAGAAGACACAAGTAATAACTTAAACGAAGCTTCCTCGAGAGAACCGCAGCAATGGCCGCCGAGAAGCCCGATAAGAAGGAGAAGAAGGACAAGAAGAGAAGCGACGAGTCCGGCGTCTCAAAGTCTAAGAAGGAGAAGAAGGATAAGAAGGATAAGAAGGAGAAGCTCGCCGCTGCCCTTGAGGAGAAGATTCAGCAGGATGCCCCCGTCGCTGCCGCTGCTGCTGCCAACATGGACGAGGACTCTGATGCTGAGGAGGACAAGGCTGCTGAGCTGCCTCTTGAGCGCACTGTCGTTCCTTTCGCCCTCCCCGTGGCGGATGAGAAGGGTATGAAGAAGGTCTACAAGACCATCCGAAAGGGTATGCGACTACAGAAAACGATGTGTTTCGGACAAATTGCTAACATTTCACAGCTGCCAAGAACAACACCCTGAAGCGCGGCGTCAAGGAGGTCGTCAAGACTCTCCGAAAGTCTCCCCCTTCCGCCCCCGGCAACACCTCTTTCCCCGGCGTTGTCATCATCGCCGGCGACATTTCTCCCATGGACGTCATCTCTCACCTCCCCGTGCTGTGCGAGGACCACAACGTGCCCTTCATTTTCGTCACGTCACGCGCTGAGCTCGGCGCTGCCGCCAAGACCAAGCGTCCTACATCCGTGGTCATGATCATGGAGAAGGCCGAGGGCAAGAAGTCAAAGGACAAGTCTGCTGACAAGGATGGCGAGGATGATGGTGAGGCGTTCGGCGAGAGCTACGCGTCGCTCGTCAAGTACGTGCAGAAGGAGTATGGCAAGCAGGCTTTCTGGGTCAAGGGTGGAACCAAATACTAGGGGCAGAAGGCCCATCGACGACGCGACAGTGCTGTCAGTATAGGAAAGGTCCCAAAGATCAAGAGAGAGCGAGGTTCCTCTGGGATGGATGGCGTGGTGTGTTAGAACAAGTACAAGTCTGGATGTATTATACCAGAACATCTAGCCGGAGAACCAACGGCTGGATGAGGGCTTTGGCGGCGTTCAGGTTTAGCTATTGCATTAAAATGGGACATGATTATCAAGGGCCCTTGAACTTGACACATGGCGGATCTTGAGCTTTGAGCTCGTGATGTTGATGCGTTCGCGAAATCCAGATCATTCGTCAAGCCACGGCACGCGATCCAATCCGCAACACCACCACAATATCCCCAAATGTGACAGCGCGGTACCTAAGCATTGTCACTGCCTAGCCCTTCTCAGAACACTTGCCTTAGTCTGGTTTCGTAATTCACAAACTTGAGGACGCATCGCAGCCTCGGCATACTATATGAGTCTTAGGATAACTTCAGCTCCATATTTACAAATAGCAGTCGCTGAAACTCTCTTCATAACAGGCACACCATCTCATAGCTTTCCAGTCGTCGAATTTCATGCATCTGAATAATTGACATCACATCATCGGGCGGCAGCTTTTGTTCATTTGTGTGGTATTACTTTGCCTTATTGGCTTTCTGTTATAGGTACATCGTCCCTATTCCTATCTCACACAGGCCCGAAGCCACGGTATAACAAATTCATCATGAAAACCCCATCCCGATCATGGGGAGATTAAGGAACCTTGGTCAAGAGAGGATTTACTCAAAAGGGTTGGTTCGGGTTCCCCACCAGGTGAGGAAGACGGAGAGACCGAGGGTCTCAACGAGCTTGGTAGCCAGGCTGACGCCGACGGTGTCGAGAGGTCGCTTCTCAACGAAGATCTGAGCAATGTACTGTAGAATGTTAGATACTGAATGGATACAGTAAGAGGGGGATGTGAAACATACGCCGGGAGCAGAGGTAGCGAAGAAGATGAGAGATCCGAGGTAAGCAGCGCCCTTGTAGCTCAGAGTACCAGTGGCGTTAATGAGAGCACCGACACCATAAGACTGGAGAGCAGAGCCGATGAGAGAAGAGCCCCAGGCGAGAGCAGCACCGGAAGCCTCCTTGGAGCGGATGAACTCCTCCTTGGTGTTGGCAGCCTTGGCGCGCTGGTAGGTCTGGCCGAAGATGGGAGCGAGGACGGCGAGCTCAATGCCGTGGTTGAAAGCTGTGCCGAGGGCGATGGCAGAGGGCTTGACGGGGGGGAGGTAGTGCAGAGACATTTTGAGTTGTGTTTGTTTTGTTGTGGTTGAGTTGAAGTATTAAGAGATGGGTATAGCTTCAATTGGTTGAGATGAGTTAAAGTGTGAAAGAATAAGGTGGTAGCTCTTTAGATTGGATCCTTCCCAGTATTTGTACTCTCGAGCTGGTCACAGATCTCGATCTCGCATCATTGAGAAAAGCGCTTCCGGGTGGCTTGCCTTGACTGTTTCTCGGTTCTCCCCTCCTCCTCTGCCCTTGTGTCGTCACCAGATGTGATGATGTCACCATTTGGTGAGACAAATTTCAACTCTGAGCCGTTTTCCTCCATGTTCCAGCCACTGCAGCTTCTCTACACTGCCACTAACCAAATGAATTCACTTCACTTCACTTATTGCGGGGTGCATTTCTTTCCTCCCCTGCCAACTTTGTACCTGATCTGACGTTTACATGTACGACTCAGACATGCCAAAGCAGAGCTCACTCTTACATACTACTCTAGGTACTCATAGCTGTAGTTGGAATCGGAGCTACAGCAGGAGCTTGATCTCCTGTGGGCGGGGCAAAAGATGGGGAAGCTTGGTCCAGGTCCAGGTCCAGGGCAAGTTTCTTGGTGACCAGGGTTTGTAGCTGCTCTAACTTCAGCAGAGTTCAGTTCCATGAAAGCAAGCAAGTCTTAGCGGGGAACAGCGCCATAACCAATCTCTAGCACAGTACCCAGACTTTCTCAGAAGTGACGAGTGACGGTGTCACGGCGTCATTTGCATCTATTCCTTTCCTTCCCCTCGGCTCTCTCTCACAGTGAACCACGGTAATATCAAACCCGGTCACTGACTTTCTTATGTGATTGTGTCCCTTTACAGCCGAATTCCCTTCAAGAAGCCCCCAGCTGAAAAGTTCCTGATGTGATCCGCGGAGCCGAGGCCGGTCCAAAGCTTGTTTTTTATTCCCCGTTTCCAAGTTCATACAAATTCCCATCCAAACCATCGTCAAAACTTCTAAAGCCGGTCCTGCCCTCCCGAAAACAGCCGGCCCGGCAACACACTCCGTTTCGAGCTAACCTACAACTCGTGTCTCAGACTTTCACCACATGCCTTTGACACCAGACCCTGTCCCTGAACATCACAATTCGAGTACAGAGGTTGGAATGCCATGACGGATTTGACGGGTGATTGTGGATGGACCCTTGTTCTTTGTTTGTGAATAGATTGTGTGTTGTAAATATTGGTTGGTGCATCACAAGACATCAGAAAACCAGCCTGAGCTAAGATGCCCCAAAACTCCAAGGTTATGGTAATCTTGCCAAATCTTAGGGTTATCCTAGAATTGAGAAGCATAGGGGAATTATGGATAACTACAACTATGTCATCATAAGCCTTACCCTAAATTAGATGATAGTCAAATAATATCATCATAAGTTTACCTCAACTACGTCAAGCCACCCGTCTAAGCTGGGGTAGCATGGCGGTTGCTCTCCCGCCACATCTAAGGTACTACCAACTTTATCCACGTGAACTACAGCAAAAACGAGAAATCAACTCCAGATTAAAATACCTTATCATAAGTTATGCCTAATAGATATCAAAAGTTATGCCATATGTTGACCATCTTCGCCACCCCTCAGGGCTAATAACGCCCTGACATCATGAACATACTGCAGGCCCTCCAACAGCGGCACCAAATGCATCAAGTCTGTATCCGTTGGATCATTGATCCAGCCCTGGATAGGAATCGCATTGTCTAGCAAACGAATGTTAACAATCTCTCCCCTGAATAACCCGACTGAGGCACCTTACCTTGATGAAACAGATAACTCAACGGACTATTGTCCAGAATCATCACCTTGCTCAGGTCTGACTCGACCGAGCTGAGGTCCTTGATGAAAGCGCCTTGCCGGAATGTGCAATGCTGACGATAGTATCGCGCTGAGAAATACTTCCTCTCCGCCTCTAGCCAGTCAATCACCGGATCTGCGTACTCCTGCACCGACGCAGTGAAAACAACCAGGTTGTACCACTTGCACACTCGCCTCAAAAACTCGTCGCAATACGGTCGCTTGTTAACCCAGTATAGAATCGGATGCTGCGGTCCAATCGATGTCTGTCCACCAACCCCCACATATGTTGTGTTCAAGCGCACCTCAACCATGTGTCCGGTACTCATCCTGCCGCCCTTGGACATGCTGTGTATCAAGGTTTCGTCTAGATCTAGAATTAAGGTCTTTTGCGGGCTCGTCGGCGGCTCGAGGTTGATGTAGGACGGCTGTCTGCGAGGGATCAAAGGTCGAGGTGGTGCCGGTGTCTTTGGGTACTTGGTGAGCGCTGCAATAGGGGAAGTGGGAGATTTAAGATGCGCCGAAAGGTCGCCGCTGCCCAAATCACTAGCCTTTGTTCGCGCGACTGCCGATTGCGTTTTCCTATGCTTCCGCTGCCTGAGATCTTCGTCGCTGTTCAGCTTAATTCGAATTGACCTTCTTGTCGGTCCGGTTTCCTCTGCAGGCTGTAGTGATTTCGATCGTGCGTGTCGACTGAGACTACCTGACCGTGATCCATCTGATTCCGACTCCGATGAGAGACCTGATGACGTCGAAGATGACGATACTGGCCTCGGTCTTGGTGCTAGCCTCCTATATCCTGTAGTCCTGCCGTAGTCCTTTTCAGAAACATTCTCAGGTTCTTCCATGGTCTTGTGTCGAGTTCCGTGTAATCCAAAAAGTTTCCCGAGCTGCGTAAAGGGTGCGAAGTTGCCGTACTCGTCATAGAAACAGGCAATGAGATAGACACCTGGGGATGCCAGTGTCGCAAGAACCCATCTAATAGAACCAATAATGCTAGAAGCAAGACGTCGAGGGATAGAGTGCCACCATGAGCTTCGTTTTTGATTGTCGCCTGTGTCGTTGAGCAGTGGTGTACTCTCGTCAGCCGGCTTTTCGGTATCGAATCGCGATTCGTCGATAGTATCCTGGGCAAAGGATTCAGTCTCGTGACCGGATGATCTATCGTCGCCGTGCTGGTCTTCCGAGGCCAACCCAATTGTGCCAATGGGACCTCCTATGCTGTTCGATCGGGATTGAGTTGGACTCGGGGGCGGCGATACGCGGGCCGTTAGGATGTTGAGGGAGTTCATCGCCACAGGCTATCGCATTCCATGAGGTAGAAGAAAGCAGTTCAGGGGATACGCTCGAGTCTTGAAGGCAGGTAGGTGTAAAGAAGAGTTCGGAATCGATCTGTGACGGCGGACGGAAAGAAGGGAAACGGTCCCGAGGAACGGATCGTCGGGCTATTGGCCGGCCTGGTTTCGCGGGAAGGAGAAGCCGTCGATACAAAAGCGATTCTGACAGAAAGTGAAACGAATGTCAAGAAGGCATCGAGTGCGGCCAAGCGAAAAAATAAGGATAGAGACAAGGACCAGGACAGGGGCGCAGTACAATCGCGATGGTAGGGCCAGGGAATGTACAAATGGCCTGGTTAATGGTAAAGAGCCCCAGGGAGGAAATAACAAGGGCACTTTTTTGAACGACAAAGCCCAAGCAGAAACAAATCCAATCCAAAAGTACAGATGTCTTGAGTGGTGAGACGATTAGGTTAGCCTGGTCTAGTAACCTGTAGGTTGGTTGTATGGACTGCTAGACAAGACAGGCAAAGCAAAGACAAGCCGCCCTCGCACGGTTATCAGCGAGTATTAACTGTTTCGTGGCGTTGAGAGGGGAGCTGGCTGCTGGACAGAGAGTTCTAAGGCTAGGGAACCTTTTGTTGGTCAACTAAGTTAGTATGGACCAAGATCGGATTCTTCCAAGCTAGAAATAAGCAGCCCTGCAGCGCTAGTTGTAAAACAGTAGCAAATAAGTAAGTACAGCGGGTTATCGACGGGTGAGGCGGGGAGTCTTTTTTTCTGGCTTGTGAGAAACAAGAACAAAGAAGCCCGTGGCGATTGATTGAGAGGAATAAAGATAAGATGAGGGGGCAAGTTTCCGAGCCGCTTTGAGCGCGCGCAAAGAGAGCGTGAGAGAGCTGGTCAAATCAGATCAATTCAAAAAGGAGTGAGTAGATCACAAAGGGAGTGAGATGTGAGAGAATTTGCTGATGGGTGGCTCGATTGACGACGGATGATGGTTGAGAGGGATGGCACGTGTTGGGGATTGAGGTGCCGAGATGCTGGGGAACTGCCAGGCTTTGGAGTGGAGGGGCTCCAGCCTACAAACTTGAGTTTCTAGGCTGTTTTCAGTGCATCTCTGGTCCCTGCTACAGTAGCGCTACAGGGGTTTTTGGATACCGCGGCTCGTATCAATTACATATGCTCTTACTGAATTCCTCCCGAGTATCATAAATCATCTATTACAATAAAAGACGTCTTCCACAATCAATTATAATCAGCGCAAGTATCACCCTAGTTTCCCAAACTCCTCATGTCACCTCAGTGACCATATTTCCTATCGATGACAGCTTCGTTATGAATCTTCCTTAGGTCCACTGGGCTCGGCTTCCACTGCCCAGGCCTCTTTTTGCAATATCCCTTCCTTGCGTATCTGCCTCAGCGATGTAGGATCAATCACACCATCAGGCAAACGGAGATGATGGATGGCATCGCCATGAGAGATGATCTCGCCCTCCACTCGCTCGATCCTGAATAGGAGTTGGCGAGAGTCGCATTGATCAAAATATCCTTGAAGAGAATTACATGCGCAGGCAACTTCCTGCCATGTCTCAACCACCTCTTTACTGAAATCGAAATCGCGTGTTCCTCGCCATGTCAGAGTCGCCGAACCATATCCCTTTCTGTCACCCTTGTCGTTCTTGTGAAAGATGACTGCGCAAGCATTGACCAGCAAATCAGATATACGGTCCCGAGACCCTTTCGTCATGAGCGGCGTTGTGAGTATCAGCGATCGGAGCCGAGGCCAGTCACTGAGCATCTTGCAAGATCTGAAGAAGTCTCGAGCATCGATCATAAACGACACAGAAAGATGTTCGAGGTCAGGGCTCTTCACAGCGAACGCTTTCCCCAGCTCAGGTTGTGTAAGTCGGCGGGTCTCTATTTGCATAAACATATTGATACTGGTCGGGTCCATGTCGTTACGAATAGCCTCCATGATCTGCTCGTTGAAATCTTCGAAAATAGTCACTGATCTGACGTGCTGGGGCAGCCGGTTAAGCATAGCCTGTGCCACTATTGCAAAAAGGATGTTAGATACGGGGATATGCCTATTATGTCTGTCGTCGACTTACAGAAGTCATGACGCCCGTAAATCGAGCCATGTAAATCCAGTGAGTGGCACAGAACCCGCCACGGCTCGTAGTTGATACTCTCTACATTTGGAAACTGCCTCAGCAGGCGGGAGAGCGTCAACGGATCGATTCTACGTCGCATCTGCCGGCGGATCACAATCCCCTTGACTGCAAGGACTTGTGGGGTTTTCACGCCGCCCGCGATTTCTGGATCGATTGTTTTGAATAGCTGCAGGATAGCTGCTGCGTTTGGAAGCGCTACCTGCTTCCCTTTGACCCAGCCGTGTTTTGGATCATCCCAAGTTTTCTGCTTCTCGAGGAGATGTCCATCATCTTCATTTTCGAATCCGTAAAGATGGTTCTTGAACCAATGGTCTGAGTCACTGGGTGAGTATACATTCAGTTCCAGCGTTATACGATTTGTGGGCTCCCAGGTTTCGAGCGCTCCAGAGAGCTTTCATAGCGCCTCTTTGATGAGCCTTGCAGGCTCCCTCGAATGAGAGGCTCGCTGACACCGGCGATAGGTATAGGTAGGGAGCTCAATGTTGAGGTAAAGTCGGTGAACGAGGTGCCTCTGCAGAATGATCGTTTTCAAGCCCTCGGCGGATGCTCTGTTCAACTCCAGTCGGTTGAGATTCTTCGGTGCAATAAGGGCATGCCATTGTTTGCAAACAGCGGAGGCGCAACCCCATCTCCTTTGACGAGAGATCTCCTCTAGGATTAGATGGCGGACCTCTTGGGGTAGAAAAGCCCAAGACGAGCGTCTGGTCTTGTCTCTTGTGTGGCTACGAAGCGTCACCATGATGAAAGATAAGGTTAGGGCATGAAGAGGAGAAGAAGAAGAAATGACAGCAGAAACTTTTGAAGGACCTCTATCTGAGTTTGTAGAAACATCGGATTTACTGTCTGCCTAAAGTTGGTACATTGAACAAAGTTCATCAAGTTGTGAGGCTATTGGTATATATTTCGCTGTGGTGCCAATATGTAAAGGCTGTCATCCCTTGTAGATGCTGCAAAGTTTCATGAAGAACCGAGAAAGGCAATATGAAACATTCAACTCCCAGGATGTGGCGCTTGTCGAAGGAAGAAGTAATAATATTGGTGAATGTTGATAGATTCAGTACTGCACTTACACGATGCACTTATATCCATATAAGGAACAAGATGAACTCAGCGAATGTCCCACTTAGATAAACCAATACAAGACTCAAAATATGACTAAAAAAGAAAACTATAAATAACCTATTAAGCTTGATCTTTCTTCCATATTCTGATTCTCTGATATATAAACAATATGCAGCGTTGTCGTGTCTTCCATAAAGCGGTCCTAGGTTCGTTGACAGCTGACATGGGTTGAGAGCAAGGGCAACTCGAACCTGGTCAATGCTGTGGATCTTTCGTTTTCGTATTCAATACTTACAAAACGATCGAATGGTTGAGGGCTCTTTGCATGTGAAGAGGAGTCACCTTGCTAATCTGGTGAATAGATGATGCCATTAGTAAAGAGTAGATACCAGCAAGGATGCTAGCCATAGCAATGTTTTTACCGATGAGCTTGAATATCCCTTCAACCTCATCGTAGCCCGTATTTTGGTATCGTTGATGAGCCGATGATTGCGGGAAAACAGTCTTCGAGACAAAGGCTGGGAAAAATTAGATTTCACCAACTGAGGTCTGAATAGCTTCATGGGGACTATTACAGCATCTTCGAGGATTTGCATTTCGGCAACTAAGCTTCGACACGCGTGTATCAGGCTCAATCTGATGTTGAGTAGATTTCCTCCCTGTACAGAGAGAAATAGCATCAGATCCAAACAGCTGGAAGCAACCCGATTTAGCCTTTTTCCCTGCCATATCCAGTAACATTAGCGATACAAGACAGCCCATCCAAACCCTTGCAACAAATCCACCATCAAGGAGGGCAGATTTTTAGTGTGAACTCTGACGATGATCTTCTCCACTAAAGAACGAGTTCTTAGCTCGGCATCAAAAAGCTGCAATGCTTCTTGAGCAAACTGTGGGTCTGCTTCAGTCAAGAGCGTAGAGGATTCCCCGGTGACTTGCATTTCTAATGTTTTTAGGTTGTTGCATTTTTCAGAAAGAAGACCTAGATTCTTCAAGCTATCTTGTCTGATATTGACCTCCTTGGTCTGACCTTGTGCGACTGGGAAACTGATTGATAGGTGGGAGAGTAAGTTGGCATTTGTGGAACCAATACAGCTTAGAAACGATCGCAGAAGGGCATCGTGTTGTTTCGGCTTGTCCATCATAAAAAGCGATTCTTGCTATAGAGGACCTCCGTAGCCTCGGTGTATATTTGCTTTTTGGTATACAATAGGGCGAGCCATTGTTTTGGCTTGTCGGGTGCGAATGTTTCTACCCGAGTTCCGATATCTTGGAAAAGATAGGGTGGTGACCTGAGTACGAGAAGTTGTTTGTATATTTCAAGACGAATGTCTTCGGTCAGGTCTAGGGAGTTGAGCGGGCCTGACTTTACAGGCTGCGAGACCTTTTTCGGGTTTCGAGACGAATATAGAAGAGAGGTCGGATATTGGGGAACCCATGATCGTCAACGGTACTGTACTGGCTGATGGCTTACAAGTCCTGTTGATGTGTGAGATAAAGAAGCCAAATCGGGTGTACAGACTTAACCCTTACAAGGTTAACTTTTAAAATGTGAAAAAGAGCATATAACAGGTTAATCTTTATTTCATGTTATCAATGGATATACATATAGGTATATATGTTCCGTCGAAGGAGAGGACGTATGTGCTGAAAGTGAACGCGGAGATATGGGGAATAACAGATGGGAATAGGATCTGGGGAAGATCGAGACACGGAGATGAGGGGTTGCACAGCTCAAATGTAAAATTTAAAGTGGTGTACAAGCTTACCTAACAATTTACAAGAACCAACAAGCAAACAAACAAACCAACAGACGCCAAGGTTGGTGATAGCATGGATGATATTACTATTGGTTAGATCTGTGGAGTACAGTAGGAGTTGTGAAGCATGTAGGAAATCGGATAGGATTTACGTATTGCTTTTTCTTGATGTAAAGCATGTTATACACCTTTGAGAAGATATTCAAATTGCGAACGAGTAACGAGATATATGATAAGACCTCTTCACTGTCCGAGAATAGATATAACAAGACAAATGATAGACACTCAGGAGTATTAGCCGTTGTAAACCTATCGCCGTTGGAGGCTGACTATCTCGGCTTGAGATCCGGAGAAGAATTGACCATCATCTTTAATCATGAAGAATTAGTCGACAGCTTACGAACAACCATAAGTTAGTTCACAATGGTCACTATAAGTTTGCAGCGATAATGGGAAGTTCAGGAGGACCCTTTCCATGTTTGTGCCGCTTGACACTTTACACGAGAAACCTCTGGCCTCAACTGCTGAGATGAATGGGTGTCATGCCAGCAACGACGAAAGGGATCAGAGACAAATGAATAAGAAACAATCATATCTGAAAGTGTGGATCTGCTGTATTTTCTATTTGCTTGGGAACTACCAACTGAAGATGCCAATGCAGAAAAATGAAGGACTGCATCCATTAATCTGGACCAAGCAGGTCTCTGTTGAATAATGGTGTATGTATGATGGCTGAAACTCGAACCAATTTGAACCTTTTCTTGGCAATAGGAAAGAATTGAATCGAGCCTCGGAAGATTACTCCGTAATGCCTTGAACGTTGCCAGCTCATCAATTGCCATTCTTGAAGTTAGTGACAGCTCATAGATGATGGCGGTGAGTCCAACTCTCAAGTTTGACAGCGAACATTGATAAGCTACATATATCCCGCCCTTCGTTGAAAATCTGTGATGTTCTCTCAAGGATTCTTTCGATAACCAAACTCATCTTATTAGTGCTACTTCTTAGTAGAATCTGCCCCTGTCCCATTGTCGTCATGGCTTGCAATCGGGGTGTAGCCCCACAGAGTGACAAGGCTGATGGCCCCCACCTGAAGCCTTGCACAAAAAAAGGCTCCGATGCGAGGAGGAATTGATTGACTCATATTCACAAACCGTACAATTCGATCAAAGCAGCACAATCGTTTGTCTGTTCAGCAACGTCGACGCTTCGCACAACGCCTGCGAAATCTCTCACTCAAGATTAAACAGAGAATATTTCAGTATCTACAGATCGAAATCATATTTCCTCTTGGCCGATATTTGTGTTTGACTCACAAATCACCCCTCCATTTCACCCCGCGAATCGCAGACATCCCACCCTGGCTTCACTACCTAGCAACGACCGCCCGCGACTGTGACTCCGACCGATACACCTCCTAGTAGATATGGCCCCTCTTTCTACAGGCTACGCGCCTGATCTTGAGAAATATCTCAGGTCTCTCAAGGGTCAAGCACTGGAATCTTCCGTTGAGAGCCTCATCTGGTGAGACACCCGCCAAGTCCTTTGCCAAGATGCTCGTTACTAAGTGTTCGCGATGCCTTTAGTCTCCTCAAGCGACGACAAATCAAGGGCTCTGAGCCCTGTGCCGTTGCTACAGCTCACATTCTACTCCAAGTCGTCGCCCGATCGAAATGGCTCAACGTTGACAGCTTGATCGACAACGTCTCTCGAATTGGTCGTCGCCTGGTCGAGGCTCAGCCCAAAGAACTCGTTATTGCCAACATTGTGCGCCGAGTCCTAGGTCTCATTCGCGACGAAGCTGCCGAGGATAGAAATGAGGGCGCGAGTGAAACCCCCAGTGACTCCCAGATCACACCAACCGATGCTGTCCCGAACCCAGATGCCCTTTCTCACCAATGGCCTCCTTCGACATATGGCAAGCAAGATTCTGCTGGAGACTATATCACCAACAGCGCCAAACCTCCTCCCGCTCGGCCTGGTCCACTGTCCTCCTACAGTTCCGTTAACGTGCCCAAGACTCTCTTCCACCTCCTCTCAGTGTCTACACCTGGCGAGCTCGCGCCCAGCAGCCAGGGATCACCTCTAGGTCTTTCAGGGGCATCTACTCCTTCATGGAGAGCTCCTTCGGCTCAGGTCCACGCTCTGAGATCAGAGGTCATTGACGGTATTGAGGAAATCAAGGATGAGATCAGCTCAGTGGACGATCAAATTGCGGCCTTGGCTGATGTCCAGATTCACCCTGGTGACTACGTGCTTATTCATCAGCCCTCACCTACAGTCGAGCGATTTATTCTTCGTGCAGCTTTGAAGCGCCGATTCACAGTTCTCATCGCGACCGAGCCACCGAAAAAACAGACCCCAGATGTCCCGCATGCCTCATTCCGTAAGAAACTCGCTTCCGCGGGGATTACAGTGATCAACATCATGAATGGAGGGTTGATGGCATACATGTCCCGAGTGGACAAGGTCATTCTGGGGGCGCACTCGATTGTCGCCAGCGGTGGTGTTATGGCCGATGCAGGTGCTGCAGCTATTGCTCGAGCTGCAAAAGAGCGAGGACGTGCTGTTATCGTCCTCGGCGGCGTTTATAAGCTCAGCCCTGTGAATCCTTTCAGTGGAGAGCTTCTGATTGAGTGGGGAGACTCTGCCAGCTTTGTCAACTTTGCGGACGGACACATGGTGAACAGCGTCGAGGTTCGGACTGCTCTTAATGAAATGGTTCCTCCAGAGTTGATCGACATATACATCACCAACCTGTAAGTCAAGAGGTCGTTGTGTAAGGCAATCCACTAATTCTTCATTTAGGGGGACACACTCAAGAGATCACTTGTCGAGTCTCATCGCAGATCATTACAAGACGGAAGATGTCGATTTTTTCCTCGACGGTGAATGATGGAGGAAAATCAAAAAATCAAAGGAAAAGAAAACGTCGCAAAAGTTGTGCCATTCATTCATTTCTCGGCGTTGAGCGAGACAGGGTTTCCACTATCCAGTCAAGGAGTGAAGGTACCATAGAATTTGCTTGATAGCACATATCACCAGCGTTTAAATTTCAGCCATATTGGGTTGAAATCAGCCTCACACAAATCATCAGATTACACCGTACCGTATGCATCGTATCGAGTCGTATGCGGTGTATGAAAGCAATGACGACGACGTCTCAAGTCAAGCATAACTTTAGAGTATTGCCAGAGTGATCAGAGGCCGGGAATGCGGCACCACAGCTGTCAGTTAGTCTAGGCTCCCTCGCTCGGCCGCGTAAGCACCAGCTCGGCCATTGGGCGCAGGGGATCCTGGGGAGTCATAGGGCTGCGAATGCGAGTTGCGTAACCCCCTGTAAGGCGCTGTAGGGCATTTTCGCAGTTCGGTGATTTGATCAGCCCGTTGAAAGCGTTTCCTGTTTGGTCATGATGTGAGGTGATGGCTGAAAAGTATTGACATAGGTTAAATAAAAGATAATACCCTTCTTTTCAGGCTATGATGCAGTCACATCCATATAGCTTTCATAGCTTAGGTTAATCAGTGTGCTGTTGTATCACACCATCAGCTCTTACCTATTCTCTCCCCATTAATACCCCTCCTCCTCCTCTCATCATGACAACTCCATCACCAGCCATGGACTCTACCAACAGAAACAATCCTCCATATCTCACAACTGGCCAAGCCCCAGCGACAGCTGACGATGCGCCACCGCCTCCATACTCAGAGACAGATATTTACTCTACCTCTTCTCAGCCCCCGCACTCACCACATGCTGCCTCCATCGCCGGCTCCGGGCACGGCCCCGCAGCTCCCGGTGACGATACCGCCTCCCGCATGTCTTCAACTTCAACTACAGAACCCATCTTCACTCCGCCACTTACGCCTCGCACCGAATCTAATGTCAACGCCACAACACCTACAACACACGAGATCCCTCTTTCTCCCAGTGTAGCTCTGTACTTTGAGACCCGGCCTGTTCCAACATCAGCGTCTCAATGGGAGCCTCAGATTCACAGCATCGCTGTGAAGCCGAACTCTGTGCCCGATGACATTCCTTATCCGGAAAATTGGGCGACTTCATACGATATCACAGCCCAAGATTGGGCGACTTTTGTTAACTTTCTCCTCCCTGATCACGATTCCGTACGGAATGAGGCTATCCTGGGTGAAAAGGGCAAATCGGAAGATGGCTCAGATATCAAATCATCTATTGGCGACGGCAGCGTCAAGTCAGAACGACACACAACTGATCCTAATGAACTACGTCGCAAACGCGCAGAGGTCGAAGCTATCGTGCAGCAGTGGAACTCTGGCTTTTTTGCTCCCCGAAATGTCATGGTAAGGCTTCAGCCCGAAGAGCGATCACACATGCCAGGAGGATGGGAGACCACATTCGATGATCCTCCAGTGCAACTCCCACCACAGGCCGGACCGTCTTTTCAGAGAGAGGCGATGCCTCAGCGCAGACCTAGCGGCTGGAACGGCTCTTGGGGCGGCTTCCAAGTCGACAATGACAGCGTCCGATGGGGAGACAGATTTGTTGCTGATAGCAATGGGCTTCGCATAGGAAACATTGTCATGGACAGTAGGGGAATTCGCATGAATGGGCAGCCTGTAGGGGCCCCTTTTGGCCCTGGACCATCACAACCACCACCCCCAAATGCTCGCAACATGCCCCCTTTTATGCCTGGAAACCCAGCTTGGCATCATGGCCCTCCTGAAGCCCGCGCCTTTCCCCCACGAGGACGAGCAGCTAGTCATGATCACCAAAGACGCCGCTCCCGGTCATCATCTTCATCTTCTTCCTCATCCTCAGATTCCTCTTCTGGCTCAGAATCCATCGGTTCTCTTCCTGACTACGACGATCTCAAGGACCAGCAGCTACCCGTCTACATCGCGCGTCTCCAACAATGGACAGCTAATCCTCTCGAAGTGCGCAGCAAGGCTGATGTCAAGCAATTGAAAGCTGAACTTAAAGCCTCAAATACAAATGGCGCTGCTCCCAATATCGACCGAAAGGCTCTCAAGGCGCAGGGCAAAGCCCTTTCACAACAATGGAGGACTTTAAAACGTCAGCAGAAGAAGGAACGGAGAGATCGAAAGAGAGATCTTAAGAAGAAGAAAAAGGCTGAGAAAAGGGAGAGGAGGCAGCAGAAGAGGGAGATGAAGGCTGCTCGCAGAGATCATAGGAGGGGCCAAGGAGGTCGAGGCCATGTTGAGCAGCCTCCTGCTCCCGTGGTGCCTCCTTTCCAAGTTTCCCCCGTTCATGTTCCAGAAGTCAATGTTCACGTTCCTCCTGTCAACGTTCCCGGTGTTAGAGTTCCTCCACCGGCTCTCGGTGGGTGGGGATGGTCAGGCAGAGGAGCCGGCCGAGGAGATCGAGGCCACCATGGTCGAGGCAGAGGTCGAGGTTGGGGTGGCTGTGAAAGCCAAGGTGCCTGGGGCAGAAATCGAGGAGGCTTCCAAGGAGGCTGGCCAAACCACTGTTCGTTTGGATCTCCAGGCCGAGGCGGTTTCGTCGGCGGCGGAGAGTGGCCATCTCGCTCAAGAGAAGGTCCTCCAGGCTCATGGCCAGCAGACGCCAACAAAGATGGCAGTATTCCACCGCCAGGTGCGGCATCAGCTGCAAAGTACAACACTGTCTCTGGAATAGAGACTGAGATTGAAACAAAGCAGAAGGATCTGGAGGTGAAAGAAATAACTTTGAGTGAGCGCAGGGCGCTAGAAAAGGAGATTGAGGCTCTGACGGAGACGATGGAGAGAACGAGGCTTGAAGCTGATGAGGCTTATGCTCGTGAGTTGGCTGAACAACTTGATGTATAATGATGGTTTTCAACTTCTTATGTATTTATATGGATAACGATTTCTTGAAACTTGTGTTAATATATGTCGTCAAAGCGACTGTCCGTCTCCAAATCAGCTATATCGAATTATCTGTGTTGTATACCTCATTTGTAGGGTCATTTGCACCACTGTTCAGTCTGTTTACCTTGCAGTCCTTTTGCCAGAATTATTCCTTTTTCTCGTTTTCATATTATATGAATCTTTATGCCTAGGCACAGTGCTTGTGATTTACGTTCCATTGTAATACTTGATACATCAAACCCTTCACTCCTCAGCTGTACAATAGTGTCCCAAGCGTAAACTCATCAACATCATAACTATCTTCCAACTACTCATGACATATCTCACCCGGACATCACAACTTTTTATCTATCCGTCTATTAAAACAAACATTCCCCCCTTTTTCATCTTCTCTTCTCCTTAATGCTTCGAGTCATCCTTTTCAACCAACGAACCAACGCCCAATCCCCTCCCCACAGCAACCTTCATCTTCTTCTTGTCCTTGTCCTTGCCCGCTTCAGGATCACGGCCAACCTCACCCACGGCTTCACCCTCGTCCTCGGCTTCAGCTTCTTCCTCTGCAGCAGCCTCGTCGACTTGCTTCTTGATGCCTCCGAGGTCTAGACGCATACAGAAAGCATCTTCACCGTCGGCGTAGTATTTGGACTCGGTCTTCTCGTTGGTGAAGCCGAGGGTGTTTTCGTAGAGGTGGCGAGCTGCGGCGTTGGAGACACGGACGTGGAGGGAGACGTATTTCGCCTGGAATGTCTCTACCATAGCCAATTCTACACATGTCAGTTTCTACTCGGAGAGCAGGATATCCATATACGTACGACTTTGGCGCATCAACTTCTCAGCAATACCCAGTCTTCGATGTGTTCGCATGACGCTCAGACTCGTAATGTGGCCATGCGGAATGCCGTCTGAAGGCTCCTCCTCCATCTTGGCAAGGACATATCCGACGATCTTGGGGTACTCGTAGGGATCCTTCTTGGGTCGCGAGACGTCAACGGCGACGTAGCTCAGTTGGGGCCATGAGAGGGCATGGTAGAGGTAGTATTTGAGGAAGTAGTTCTCGGGGAGGTTCTCGAGGTTTGCGTGCTGAATGAGGGGCAAGTCTGCGTTTGTGAGGAGGCGGATATCCATGGCTGCTGGGTGATTCTGTGGTGGTGATGAGGCTCAAAAGTATGTACGTAGTATGTCGACAGAGAATGGTATAGCTTCAGCCCACTTCAGTTCAATTCATCAAGCGGAATCGGCCCCTCAATTCACACGGCGGGTCAACAAGTTTGCGGTCAAAAGTCAGCCCGGAGGTCGGCAGTAAAGCCCCCCGCGCCGTAGAAGGACAACCCCACTACGATGCTCTGAAGAAGAAGACCTAGAACGCTAAGCCAGGCACCAATTGAGTGCCCCTCCACTGTAACACCCGAGAAATGTCCCCTCGTGGAAGCGCACCTGTCAAAGACAGCAATGGCCGCCACGGGACTTGGGCAGAAGGTGGATTATCGAGTTGGTGCTTTGTCTCTATTGGCGCGACAATTGCAGTGGACTCTTGAATTGTGTCAGTTGTGTAAACTAACATGTAAGAGGGCCACGACAAGAACGGTCTAAGGCTGTAGATAGATATAAATATAAGGAGATCATCGTCAGTTCTTGTTCTTCTAGACAATGTGTTCTTTTTCCTATTCAATTTGTGTTCTTCTGTTGTCTTGATACCCGGCTCATAGTGCCTCGCTTCACCACCGACTAACACATCACCATCATGGCTCTTCCTCTTACTGGCAAACTTGCCATTGTCACTGGTGCCTCTCGAGGTATGGTCTATTACCTTAATCTATGATCAATTGGGCTCTACTGATTTCAAAAGGCATTGGTCTGTCCATCACCAAGGCCCTTGCTGCCCGAGGCGCAAACCTCGTCCTCGCCTACACATCCGCCAGCTCTGCTGATTCAACAGCTAAGCTCGCTTCTGAACTGTCTTCCAAGCACTCTATCAAGGTTGTTCCCGTGCAAGCAGACCTCGGCACCGTGTCAGGTCCTGCCTCGCTCATTTCTCAAGCCGCCGATGCCTTCAGCCCCCTGCGCATCGACATCCTCGTCAACAATGCTGGTGTTGCTTTCAATGATAAGGTCCCCGACATCAAGCCTGAGGACTTCACAAAGAGCTACAACGTCAATGTACTTGGCCCTCTTCTTCTCGTCCAAGCCGCACACCCCTACCTGCCCACAGACCGCTCCGGCCGTATCATCAACCTCAGCAGTGTGAGCGCGAGCCTTGGTTTTGTTGGTCAAAGTGTCTACGGCGGCACAAAGGCTGCTCTCGAGGCTATGACACGTACCTGGGCCCGTGAGTTCAGCGAGAGAGCTACCGTTAATGCCATCAACCCTGGCCCTGTCCGCTCTGAGATGTACTCTCGAAACTCGGACGAGTTCAAGCGTCTCATCAAACCCTTCATCCAGAATGCGCCTCTCATGGCTGCTCGTCCTGGTATTGATGATCCCGAGGTCGTCGAGGAGGCCAAGACTGCTGGTGGACGCGCAGGTGAAGCTGATGAGATCGCTGGCATCGTCGCTATGCTTGCTAGCCCTGAGAGTGCTTGGTGCACTGGTCAAGTCATTTGTGCCAATGGCGGTATGATCTTTGGTATGCAATAGAAAGTTTCATCATGGAGTAAAGGAAAACAGAAGTCAGATGTTTGTCACGGGTATGTTCATTAGAAGGCATCTTTCGTAGTAAATTCTATGTCAGCCAGTAACTGTGTTGCAATCAAGGTTAACGTGATGGGCTGCTGTGATAAGTTCAAGTGCCCCGCCATTTGTTAGTGGGCGGTGGCGCAAATTCTGCCACTCACTCACTCACTCACTCACTCACTCACCTAAGTCTCAACTCACTTACAAATCAGTGAGTCAAGACTCAACCCAAAAGAACACACACAAGATATCATGGAAGCAAGACAAACAGACTCCTCTGATCCCTTTGAGGACGTCCTCAACCTCGAAGAGCGCTTCTACTCAGAAGGCTACCAACAAGGCATCAAAGACGGCGTTCAAGCGGGGCGAATTGAAGGGCGATCTTTTGGTATGCAAAAGGGCTTTGAAAAGTTTCTCGAAAGTGGTCGTCTTGCCAGCAAAGCTATCGTATGGGCGAACCGGATACCACCAAAGGACGGTACTGCTTCGGGAGAGACTTGCACTTTACCACCTTTGCCCAAGAATGCAAGACTGGAGAAGAACATCAACACTCTGTATGCTCTCGTAGAGCCAGATACACTTTCGACTGAGAACTCGGATGATGCAGTTCAAGACTTTGATGACCGTGTTAAGAGGGCACAAGGAAAGGCCAAGATTGTCGAAAAGATGGCGGGAAGTGGTGGACGAGAGGCATCGGGAGCATCACCAACATCTTGAGAACATCGGAAACGGATTTGGAGTTTGGTTTGGCGCTTGAAGGCTGAGATCAGGAACATCGATGTCAAAGACTTTCATATCTGAAAAAGGAAACTCATCTGCATTGTCAATGGAAATTCTATACCTCACTACCTCATAATTTGTATACACAACAACCCCCTTCGCTTCTAATTTATTTGAATGATCTGCAAGGGTATCTGTAGCAGTTAGCACACGTTCTCTTCGCGATTCCTCAGCGTTTGCAACCTACCCTTCACCATAAGATGTCTCTGTCACCTCATACTTGTGCACATCCCACTTTCCAGTTGCCAAGGTCTGGCCACTGGGCAGAGGAGGCAGACCGTTAACGAACACATCCTTGGTCGCATCGGTCGCCTTCTCAAGAGCCTTTGCCAGACCAGTCTCGGATTCCTGCTTAACAGCCACGAGCTGCTTCTCACCAGCCTCGCCAATGAGCTCAACCTTAGGAGCCGCCGCGCTGCCGACAGTGAGGAGCTGAGCGAACTGGGATTGGTTGACGACGCTGATCTGGGGGTAGTTTCGGCGGTTGTCGCGCTTCCAGTAGGGGTTGTCGGCGATGTCGCCGGCGGGCAGCGTAACGGGGTCGTCGTACTCGAGAGGAGGGTTGGCGCCGGGTGTAGGGTTTCGGAAGTGAGGGTTCAGAGGGACACCGTTGGATCGTTCAGGATCGATGGCCATGAAGCGACGGAAGGCCTCCCAGATGCCTGTCGACTGGAGGGTTTGCTTCTGTACGACAGAGGTTCTATTAGCGGGCTGTATGCCATGTATTGGCTTTCATGATGTGCGAGGTAATTCGAACGTAGAGGCTGCTGTCGAGGGGCCATTGGGAGGCATTGGGTTCGGGGAGATGTTCTCGAGTCGTACCTTGGCGATGCTGACCACGTTGCTGGCGGCTTTGGCCACTTGGGACGACATGATGGCTGTGGTAGGCTGATGAAGGCTGTCGTTGAGGTTCGGGTGATGGAATCGATTCCAAGTTGAAATGGCGTCGTGATTATTGGCTGACCAAGTTGGTTTAGCCGAGGCTCCACCGAGACATATCAGCTACCCTATAGATTAACAATTGGAGGAGCTGTTACTGTACATGAGTCTTCGTTCGCATAAACAACGATGGGCTTTATGGTAATATTATTTATAACGAGTTCAAGTATCTCTTCTGGTAGCAGGTGTGTTGTGACGATAAAAGTAAGCTGCTCTCTTTTAGTGGCTGCGTTTAGGACAACAACCCCATTGTCTTTGAAAGAGCTGCCTCACAGCTGTGTTTTCAAGTTTAGAGTCGAGATTGAAAAGCTTGTCTAAAAATAAAACTTGGGGTACGAGAAACAACTATGCCATCAGCTTGCTGTACGTACATGATTCAATGGGCTGGAAGTGCCATTAGAAGGCTTGGTGATCGAGGACTAAACCAATCCTCGAGTCAACACCAACACCAAATACAGACCAAGGTGGGAAACGTGAAGCATTGATATTACTCATGTTACTATTGGTCTATGAACCCTTTTAATTTGCAGAAAGATACGAAAACAAAAAGCCTGTAACACAGGCATATCAAAACCCCCGATTGTTCCCACTAATTACAATCACACTTATGTGTGCCATCAATCAGAGGCCTCATCCTTATTTGCTAGCCAGCTCTTCAACCAGTACCTGAACGCGATCAAGAGTGCCCTGGGGGCTTCCAGCCTCAGCGACCAGAATCTTGCCCTCCTTGCTAATGACAAAAACACCGCGCGTCGTTCCCTTAGGAGCCTTCTTGAGACCGATGGCCTCAATGAGTGTTGCCTTGGGGTCGCACAGCAGTGTGTAAGGGAGCTTTTGCTTCTCCTTGAAGGTTGTGTTGGCCTTGGGGGAGTCGGCGCTGAGACCGTAAATGGCAAGGCCGTCCTTGGTAAGAGGCTCATAAGAGTCGCGGAAGAAGCAGACTTGCTTGGTGCCTGTGGGAGAGTCAGATGAATACTCGGATGAGAAGGTTTTATCAACTTACAGCCGGGAGTAGATGCCTTGGGGTAGGTGAAGAGGACGACACCAGACTTGCTCTCATCAACAAGCTTCTTCAGTGTGGTCTTTTCACCATCATTGGTCTCAATTTCGCCTCCAAAGCCATCAAGGTCCACAACATCGCCAACCTCAGGCTTGCCACCGGTCTTCTTGGACTCCTCCGCCTTAGTTTCCTCAACCTTGGGCTCCTCCTCAGTCTTCTTCTCCTCCTTAGCCTCCTCAGGCTCTTCCTTCTTCTCCGTGACCTTGGCAGCGGCCTCCTTCACCTTAGCAGCCGCTTTGGGAGCCTTGGTAGTTGACTTCCGCTTCACGGGAGGAGGGGGAGGGGCAGTAGATGCCTTGCGCTTGCGAAGTTCCATAGGCATGGTGATATCTGGATGAAACGAGAGGATTTATGTGGTTTGCGATAATGCGATGCGATGCGCTGAATGCAACGAATGAAGAGCAATGCTGTATCCTGCAAAGCTCGCAGATGAATTTGTGATTAAAACCACGGCGTGAAGGCTACGAAACGCGTAAAGAAAAGGCGGATGAAGGAGACAAAAACAAAAGATGAGGTTGGGCGCTTGGGGGAAATGGGACTGCCCGTCCGTCGCAGTCGCATTCGAATGAGTGCCTCACCCCGGTTTGGGAGGTCTCGTCTGGGAACCAATAGAGACTGTTCCAGGCCCTTTCAAGCTTCCGGGAGCTTGGACCACAAGCTGCTCGGCAGCGGATGGCGCACGGGCCATGCCTTTTCGCTTAGATGATTGATAGTGGAGACTCTCTGCTCTGCGATTGCGGAGCTGAAAAAGACGTTGAAGAGATGCATCAATTGAAGTTATGCTTTTACTGCGCACCAATAGAATACCTGCCGAAATCATCCGTTTACTTTCAATAAGATGAGATGAGATGTTCACCATTTATCTTCAACTTTAAATTGTAATGCCAAGACTTATAATATGAATCCCCGAGTAAGTCCCGTTTTAGGTAAAAAAAAAAAAATCGTCTTATTCTAACCTAAATTTCTAGAATTTTATGGCCCCAGGGGCTGCTTTCACCATGGCCTGCGTCCTGCTCGTGTGAGTAAAGAAAGTGGCGTGTTCTTCAGAAGTGAAGATATCGCAACATATCCTTCTGTTTTCTCAATTTACTATGCATTCTCAAAAGAATGGTCGTTGGCCAAAAAGTCCGGCACAGTCTTGGACTTTTTCTTCGTTTCAGTGTTCTACACCAAGTGATATATACCCTGAATCTTGTGCTTAGCACTGGGGCTTGAATGCTGGGAAGTGTCACGGAGGAACATTCCTTCTTAGACAAGACTCTAAAGACTTGCGATATCACCGGAAAGCTGATGATTTACAGATACACCCGTTCATCCATTCACTCCGCTCGAGACCAAGCAGTACGTCCCTCCACTCAGCTTCATCAACATCAACTAACAAAACACTTTAGCAGAAATCTTCAAAACTACCAGGGAATGGAGAACATGCCCCAAGACGTGGTTCATCATGAGTTCGGAGCAGAGTAACTTGAAGCATATATCGGCGTATGGGAAGCAAATCGATTACCCCCTGTCACTAGACCTAAGCATCAATCATTCGGCAAAGCATATGAATTTGAACATATGGTATTTTTATGATTTATTGTCTAGTTTCTCAAACATACATCATGAAACAAACTCCATTTGAATGCCTGCGCTGCACCGATTTCGCCATGCCTCGACTCATCAGCCCCTTAATGTGACCCAGAAAGTCAAGCTCTCTGTTCTTCAGACAAGATAAGAAAGGGGTTGTGCAGCCATATGCGCCTGCTGTATACATTCCTCTGTGTATATGAAAAGTGGAAATGATAGGAACCATGTCGCCGCAACGTTCGCCCCATATGTCCCATTGTGAACCAGAAAATTGTCTAAGCCTTCAGCCGACTAAGGGTATTTTAGCCTTGCTTTATCTCCTATTCCTATACCTTCCATGAATCCATGTGTACAGTCCTTCTCCATGATCTTTCAACTCCTATGATTTCTGATGTTTTGCCCAAACTCAGGACCGTTGTTGAGCATTCATGGCTCCGCTGTAGGATCCAGCAATAAATGCCGTGCCTCAGCCCTGGCATGATATAATTGCCTCATGACATATTCGTAAGTCAGCATCGTTACTGTCGCTGCTGGGACAGCCCGCATCATATTAGTACCAAGACCGGCATAGAATGCTCGCCAACCTTCCTCCGCTAGAATGGTTCGGAAGGTATGGACAACGCCCTGGTACTTAGGCTTCTCCACGGGAGCCCTACTCCTGGGGCCTGTACTTGCCACACCCATCCCTTGAACGAACTCTTCGCCGGCAAGTGGGCGCCGTTGGGTTTGAAGACGGGTTCGGATGACTTCGTGAGGGTATGTGGCGGTGCTGGCGAGAATCTTGGACAGAATCGAGGCCCCTAATATTCCGAAAACGTGAGTTTTATCATCTTCCTCATTCGATTCACCCATTCCTTGGCCGGTAAACTTGGTCTTCAAGTACTCGTAGGTCGGGAACTGTACAGCAACATGTGTTAAACCGAGGAGTGCTGGTGTTAAGCCGGAATAAAATGAAATGAGGCCTTCTGAAGTGTACATCTTGCGAGCTGCATCTACTGTTGATCGGTAATGCCAGTCATGCAGTGTTGGCCGTGCTGTCGGTGTGCCCACGGCTTTCGGGTAGTATGTAGAGTGGTGGTCTTGTGTGTTGTGGCGGATATTGCTCTGTGACATGAGCCGAGTTTTAATGACCCATATTGGGTTGGTGACGATTGTACTGCTGGCGCCTGCTATGATAGACGACCAAAAGTTGACTATGTGACTGTTGTCTGTTTGGCGAAAACAAGGTCAATATGCCACTCTCACCCACGGGACTATGCGCACTTACCAGAATGCTGTGATATATACCCCTTGCTCTTGTTATAAACAGTAAACCATACAGCCCATGTTGGCAAATAACCCATTACAATAGGCCCTAGACCGCGGTAGAGACCTCTAATCCCTTCCTCTCTCCATATGACCTTTGCTGAACCAACGAGACCGTTGTATAACTGCGGGTGGCCGACATGTCGTCCCTTATTCAAGGCAGCGTAGCCACCCTGTGCCTGAAGCTTGGTCTTGATGACGTCGAGAGGGCATGTCACGACACCTGATGTGAAACCGCCCACTGCACCGGCGACAGCGTTGAACTGGGTATCTGAGGCGTTGAGTGCCCATCGGTGTAAGGGGGTGACCGTCGTGGAGTGCATTGGAGCGTCGGAGGATGCGTAACCGTAAGATGATGCAGCATAGTCTGAAGACGGCGACTGGGCAGCTTCGGGAGGGACCTGGTCAGTTGACGACATCCCAGTCGTCCTTTGTCAAGATTGTCTCACTGGTCGTATTTTTGATACTCGATGCTTGCGATACAAAGATTCGAGAATGAAATGTGGCAGAATTAGTATCTGCGTTATAGCTCAATCGTGTGAAATATCTCGGGCGCTCGTCTTGAAAAATCGTCTCGTCTCGATATATCTTTGTCTCCCGGTCCGGCGCAGACGTCAAGTCAATGTATTTCGGGAGCCGGGATTGACCCAACGACAAGTCCTACAGGCCGTAGATTGTTCGCAACCCAATATGTCGCTATCACAGTGGTCCCTCAATGTCCCAACCCGATTCTGCCCCCAAAAAATCAGAAAGTCCCGTCTGTCGAGAGAAACTGACGTCTGCCGCTGTTGGAACCTCGCAGCCGGTACGAAGGTACTGCGGGGGAACGCTCCCACGCGCCGTGACCGACCGCTTCCCGCTCAGCGAATGGCGCCGGCCATTGACTTTGGAACTCGAAAAAAGCGATAGCCTGGGGACCAGAGAAACCGGTGAGAGTTGAAGGCTGACGCTGAGAGTGAGGGCAGAAAAAGGACGAAAAAAGAGGTTGGGACGATAGAAGGAAAAGAGTTGTATGAAGTTGGAATAAGTGTGAGGAAGTCGAGGGAAGAAGAATCAAGTTTCCCCGATGGCGAAACGGAGCGGATGGAGAAAGCAGCGCGGGCGGCGGCGGAGGGAAAGTCAGGACCTGCACTGGACGGGGCGGGCGGTTGATCAACTGGAAGACGCCCTAAATGCACTATAACCCACTATAAATGCAGTACAACAGCACCTGCAGGGTTTGATTCCGTGATTTTTTGTTGATATGGAGTCCGCTGAATGCTTGTTCAACAAAACCCCGAACTATTATTCCAGGGCAGAAAACGCTATCATTTTGGGTATCTTACAGAATTTCTCTTCTAACACGGGCTTGTCACCTTTTTTTGCACCGCTGCAAGCCGGTATTAGCGGAGACGAGGGATAGCTTAACGGTCGAAATGAAAATGACGCAGTGTAAACTAACAGACACTAAAAAAAAGTAGACAGTTTTTATCTGTCAAAGGGAGATACACAAATGGGAAGGGTAATGTGATTGCATATGGTGTGAGAGAGAGCACAAGCGTTGGCGGCTGCAACTTGCGTGCAAGGCCCGGTATCTCTCGAGGACAAGCTCCGATACCGATCTTGAACCTTGCTTGACGTGGGATGACGACGTTGGGCGGTTGTATTCCGAGGCTTGAGGTGCAGGATGATATTATCCGAGGCATGAGACGAGTGTTACTACATATTCTGTGCATGATATCAAGTGTTAGTCTAACATGAAAGAGACTCTCACTGTCACAAACTCATGCTTCATTTACACATGTTCATTCAAGTTAACCGTTCCATCCCGAACCGGTTTCCCACGGGACAGGGACATTTGAGGTGACCCCCACATCGTCATTCTCCATGCATGGCATGCCATGTGCACCGCCCGCCACAGCCTGTGCCACACATCACAATCTAATCTCCAGCGCCACACAGGTCCTTAGTCATCGTTTTTTGGTGGTCCTTCTGCCCGATCGGAACCTTGTAAGCCAGCCAGAGAACGACAAAGGAATGGTCATCAAGACCACGTGACGTCCCGAGCTCTCCTAGGAAGTTTTGCAGTTGCTCGCTCAGCCCATCCCCAATTCGCGCCATTTCCGACGAAACGACGACGACGACAACCACGAATTCCAACCCAACCTCGGAACGTGTCAATCGATCCTCCTCCAAAATGAAGTACTCGCTCGCCCCCTTCATCCTCCGTAGGCCGTGGCTCGCCCGCCTCTTCAAGCCCGCCGCTACCTGGTACGTCAACGCCGCCGGCTACCGCCAGCTGGGCCTCAAGTATGCGATCTCCCTTCCCCTGCGAACGCCAATTGGACCTCGAATTGTTGGAATTGGCGATATTTCGGGATATTGTTGGCTGACCGGAGTCCTCAATTGGTTGAAATAGATACGATGATCTCCTCGAGGAGGAGAACGAAGTTGCCCAGCAGGCCC